TTATTTGGACACGTCATCATTTTCCAGTTAATTAACGGGACATGTCACTGGATTTTCAACGGAGGGACTAAATCGGGGTCAAAATGGTAAACAGTAGGGACCAAATCAGGGATTTTTTGAGTTGAGGGACTAAGTCGGGGGTCCGTACGATAGTTGAGGGACCAAAATGGGGGTTTAACCTAAAAAGTAATGACCGTAGTCATAATGGCCGAAGCTGAAGTAAAAATTAATGACCCGAGTGATAATGGCCAAAGCCGAAGTAAAATACTTGGTAAAAATGAAAAATTTTATTATGAAGGCCAAAGCCCCTATTTGCACCCTCCATTTATTTTTTTTCCGCGGTCAATACCTTCCAGAATTTTTCCTCCCTATTCACACCCTTCACTTTTCAAAACTCGTGAAAAACCCAATATTTTAACTGGCCATCACGGCACCGTTAAAAAATATATTACATGGCACCCAAAAATTGACGTGGTACTATGTAATGTTAATAATCCAACATGGATCTTTTTTTTTTTTATAACGTGGTTTATTTTTTACAGATGTGGACGCCATGTATACAGTGAAAATAATAAAAAATTATAATATTACCAAACAGTTACATAAATGGCAATTTTTCTTTGTTTTCTTTCCCCCCTCATCCTCAGCATCATCTTCACCATCCTCCATCTTCACCATCCTCGCGGGGAACCCAGTTCGGGTTCCTGCGCGGAACCCAATTCTAGGCCCCTATGCGAGAAACCCAATTCCAACCATTTTTTTTTTAATTTTTTTTATTTTAAATGTATTTATCTTAGCTTCCGATTTTATGCAAAGCAATTTAGAATAATTTTTTTGTTGGAAAGGTGAGTTTTTTTGCTTGGAGATTGTTTTTGAATAGGTAGCCAATTTGAGTTTTTTTTTTTTTTTTTTTTTTTTGTGGGAAAGGAATAGAAGATGCTTATCATGTTTTTGTGCAGTATTCATTTACTTATAATTGTGTGGATGAAAATCTTAGCTTGGTAGGCATTCATGGGAAATTAGGTTCCACGAAGAACTCAGAACCTAGGGGGATGAGCAGGGGCGGTGGCAGAAATTTTTTTCAGGGGGAGCAAAAAACTAAAATTTTCAAAGTTCAGGGGAGGTTAGATAATTTTTCATATACTAATTTGCAAGATTTTCAAATTTCAAGGGGGCGAGCACCCCCCCTCGCACCCCCTTGGCTCCGCCACTGGGGATGAGGACGAGGATGGTGAAGATGATGCTAGGAAAGAAGAAAATGAAGAAATTAAAATTAATGATGATTTAATTATAACACATATAAAAAAAAGTCCAACATTGGATTAATAAATGTGACATAAAGTTCTGGAACCCAGGACGATGAAGAGGAAGGTGGTAAAGATGATGCGAGAAAGAAGAAAATGAAAAAATTAAAATTAATTATGGTTTAATTATGCCATATCATCAAAAAAAAAGTCCACATTGGATTATATTACTGTTTAATGCCACGTATTACAATTTTTAACGGTTATTAACGGTGCCGTGACGGCCCATTAAAATATTAGGTTTTTCACGGGTTTTGAAAAGTGGAGGGCGTGAATAGAGAGGAAAAATTCTGGAAGGTGTTGACCGCGGAAAAAAAATAAATGGAGGGTGCAAATAGGGACTTTGGCCTATTATGAAAGGGAATAGAAGTATTGAACTGGACTTAGTGGGACCTGTTAAAGAGGGCTGACATAAGGTTAATGCATGGCGTGACAGCTGTCTATCGAAAGACGTGTACCATCAATACGGGTTGTAAAAAAGTAACTGCACAATTAAGCGGACGGGATGGGAAATGAACTGTCGAATCCCAGAGATTTCCCTTGGGGATTAACCATCAAATTCGAAACGGTGTAACTGTGACCGTTAGATGAAATTAATGAGAGCCGTTGAGGCGTATATTTCCTTTGGTATATAAAGCTATACTTCTGTAAAAAGAGTTTTAGTTTCTTCGTATTTGCTACCGAAGTGCTGCCAAACTCTCTACAGTGTTTGTGTGAGTGATTTGCGTGACACATTTTTGACTTCAAAACTCGTTCTACACTATTGAAATCAAGTAACTTATGAACTTTTGTAATTCGAGTTCTAGTGGTGAATTTTATTCTCCTCTCACCCTTTCTGATTTAGATTTAAGCCCTCTTAAAGAGGTTAGGGTTAAGAGCGAGAGTGATATTGAGCGTAAGTTAGAGTTGTTTGAAGATCCTGACTACATCCCTCCCCCATTGAGGAGATGTCTTCTAAGGAAACACTGAGCATTGAGGGGAATGAGGAACTAAGGATGTTGGAGTACAATGATATAAGCATTGAGAGTGAATCATCTGGGTCTGAGCGGACAGAGGGAGGGGTAGGGAGAAATGAGGTTGTTGAGGTTGGGGCAGAAGAGGTGCCTATTAATATTGGAAGTGGGAGATAGGAGTGATAAGTGTTACGATAGTGGGGCAGACATTGTGTCTAAGGTAAAGGGGTATGAGTCTGAGCTACGGAGTAGGAATAGTCTGAGTTATCTCATAGAAAGATACGAGATCTCTTCTAGAGTGTTAATCAAGCCTGCTGGAGTGAAAGAAAAGGCATGCTCTGCACCCAAGGATCACTAGATGCTAGTGTATGCCCATTACTTGGCAGCAGGGCTTAGGTTTCCTTTACTTTATTTGTTGGTGTGGCTATTATTAGAGTATAGTGTAGGTTGAACCCAATTATCTCCCAATGCAGTGAGGGTGATAATTGGGTTTATAGTTTACTGCCGGGCTAGGGGGGTCAGGGTGCCCACAGTAAACATGTTTAAGCACTTTTTTGTGCTTAAGGCTCGGAGTAGGAAGGAGAAGGGGTGGTATTACTTTACACCTCGCTCGTCCAACAAAGAGAAAAGAAACCTATTTAGTGCAGGGCCTTCCTCCATTAAGGGATGGAAGGAAAAATTTTTTCTTTGTTGATGACACCGAATGGGATAGGGGAGACGCGGAGGTAGAGTTCTTGTCTACTTGGAAGGCTAAAAAGGCCAACCAAAATAAATATAGTTTAAATAGTGATGAGGAGGAAGAAGTAGAGAAGCTAGTGAGAAGGGAGGGTGACATAATAGATATTATGTTTCTCACCAGCTCAGATGTTATAGAAGCGGCTGAGTTTTATGGGTCGAGCGCACTAAGCGAAGGTGCGTTGGTGTCTTGTGTAATGTGTATGAAAGTTGATTTTTAATTTGTGGTTTTAACGAAATTGTTGTTTTGCAGCTGAAATGGACATGTTTCTCAATGCTGCTGGTGGGGTGGTTATTCCCAAAAAGCCAAGGAAGAAGTCCTAAACTTTGGAAAAGGTTGTGGTTGGGAAAGGAGATGGGCACCTAGAGAATGGGCAGATGTCAAGCACAGAACCCCAAGTTGCAGAGGAAGTGGAGCTGAGGTCCAAGAGGAAGAGGGATGAGGTGGATCAAGCTCAGAAAAAGAAAAGGAGGATGGAGGAGGAGGTCAGGGGGGACAAGGTAGTGGAGTTTGTACCTCATCTTGCACCTGTTGAGCTTGATCCGGACCTCAGAGAGACCGAGGTCCTTGCCTCTAGCAAGGGTAAGGCGTTTGTGCCCGCGCCTTCTCTCTAGAGCATCATTTTTGGGAGCAAAAACTTATCCGCGGTGAAGAACTTCATCAACGCTTTTGTTCCTGAGGTGGATCACTATGAAGCGAGGGAAGAAGTCTTGCTGCATAGAGGGACCTTAGTTGTGAGGCATGCTCTGGAGGTAAGTTTGGTGATTATTTTTGTTTTTTTTTTTTTTTTTTGATTGAGTTGTGCTGATGTGGCAGACTGCAACTTGGGTTAATGCGTTAGCGCAAGAATTCCTAGAGCTGGTGAAGGAGCATAACAACCTACAAAAGGAAAGGGATGAGCTGTTGAAGAAGAATGGTGAAATGAAAAGGGAACTGGATATAGTGGTACCAGCAGTGACGAGCTTACAAAAGGAGAGAGATACACTGAAGACGATTCTCTCATTCGAGGAGAAGAAAAGGAGAATGTGCGAAGAGGAAAATGAAGCACAAGAGGAGGAAATAAGGAGGATAAGAGAATCCGAGGTGGAACTCAAGAAGAAAGTCCAACTGCTGGTCCACAATGGGATGGAGGAGCATATCGGAAACTTTATTAACTCCGGCACATTTGACAACGTCGTGAATCTGTACCGACTACAATCCTCGCATTCACTAATTATAGAAAGAAGGTTAAAGCGGAGTATCCTGAAGTGGATATCACCAAGATTACCTTTGGTGAGTAAGAGGAAGGGGTGGAGGAGAACGGTGAAAGCCTGTCAGCAGATTTCCAACCTCAAATTAAGCTGAGGTGGGATCATGATGAAGAAGGAGGCTCTGTTTTTCCTCCCAACTTTGACTTCGAGTTTGTAGCAGTGGTGGAAGAGGAAGGAGAAGCAGAAGGGGCTGAAGTTGAGAAGAGTCAGCCACCTCCTCCCGTAGAGGTGCATCTAGTTCCCTCAAAAGAACAGCAGCCACTTCTCCCAGCAGAGCAGTAGCCACACCAGCCACCTCCTCCAGTGGATTAGTTTAGGGATTTTTTTATTTTTATTGTTTGATTTATGTATTCAAAATTTGGACAATGATTAATGTACAAGCTTTTTTGATTAATTTCAAGGAAAATTTTTGAGTTAATTTGATTATTTATTTTGTGCTTGTAAAGATTGAGATAAGTAAATCACTTCGAATATGAACTAGGAATAAGTGAAATTCAAATGTGAGCTGAGAAGAAGTAAACAAATTTTGATATGAACATGGAGGAAGTGAATCATTTCAGAAATGAATTAAAAAGAAGGAAAACACTTCGGAGATGAACTAAAAGGAAGTAAAGCACTTCGGAGATGAACTAAAAGGAAGTAAAGCACTTCGGGGATGAACTAAAAGGAAGTAAAGCACTTCGGGGATGAACTAAAAGGAAGTAAAGCACTTCGGGGATGAACTAAAAGGAAGTAAAGCACTTCGTATGTGAAATAACATTTATTAATAAAAGCGACGTTCAAGGAATGAATTCTTAACAAATTGACCTCGGATATATAGAATAAGAGATAAAATGAATGTTAACACTCAAGAAGTAATAATTATAAAGAAGAATCAGACATAGATCACTTGAAAGGAGTTTATTATGGGTAAAATTTCTTCAAGTTATTGACATTCTAGACTCTAGGAATTCGCTTCCCTTCAGCATCTTGGAGGATATAAGCACCAGGATGTGGCACTTCGGCCACTGTGTAAAGGCCTTCCCAATTTGGGCCCAGTTTGCCAAAACGAGTTTCAAACCCTGTTAGGCTAGCCTTTCTAAGAACAAGGTCTTCTACTTTGAATGTTCAAGGGTGAACTCATTTGTTATAAAAGTTGGCTAATTTCTGCTTGTATACAAGAGTTCGAAGCCTTGCTTCTTCTTTGACTTCGGCAAGCATATCAAGGTTTCCCTGAAGCAATTGTCTATTTCGTTCTTCATCGAAATGGGTGACCCTAAAGCTTGGGATTCCTATTTCAATAGGAATGACTGCTTCGGTACCAAAAGCCAGGTGATAGGGTGTTTCACCTATTTCATGAGATTATAGTCTTTAGAATATGCTTTACATGTTATGCATATTTGGTTTAGGGTAGAGCCGCAGGTGAGAAAATAAAAGTAGAATGAAAGTATTTTTTTATTAGAAATGGTACCTATGGCAGTTCGACTCGTAGTTCTATATGCCCAAAGAACGTTGTTGAGCTCGTCTGCCCACCTGGCCTTGTGTTACTCCAACCTCGACTTTATTCCTTCTAGGATAGCTTTAACAGATTCTACCATATCATTAGACTCCGGGTGATAAACCGAGGTGAACTATAGTTTGATCCCGTAACTAGAGCGAAAATCTCGGAAGGAGGAATGGTTAAACTAAGTACCATTGTCGGCCACAATCTGGTTCGGGATCCCATATCTGCAAATAATTGAGCCAAAAACAAAGTCTTCAACTTTTCTGGAGGTAAGACTGGATAATGGTTGAGCTTCAACCCATTTGGTAAAATAATCAACTCTAACAATCAGATGGGTTACACCTCCAACCTCTTTCATAAATGGGCCTAGAAGATCAAGTCTCCACTTAGGAAATGGCCATGGTGCTACCAAGCTTATGAGTTCTTCTGCTTGTTGGTGAGTCAAATGTGCGAAAAATTGGCACTTCGAGCATCTCTGAACAAAGTGAGTAGCATCTTTATACATATTCGGTCAATAATATCCCTGCCTGAGGACTTTGTGAGCCAAGGTCCTAGCATTGATGTGGCTCCCACAGGCACCTTCATGCACCTCTTGAAGTGCGTACTCAGCTTCATAGGGATATAAAGGACTCCATCAACGAGTGTGTATCGAGACGCTTTCTTCCTTAACCTCTTTACCTTTTGCTTGTCCTCAGGTACTGTCCCGTTTTGTAAAAAGGAGATAATTGGGTCAATCCAGCTTTGTGTCTGGGTCTGTGCTGATTTCCATCATTCATGGCTTTATGAAGCTTGGTTCATCTAAGACTTCCACAAAAACTGATCTAGAGCTTAAAGAGCTATCGAAGGCGAACTTAGAAAGTAAATCTGCCTGTTTATTCTCAATTCGGGAAATTTTGTTCAAACAAAATTTCTGGAATTTGCACCTCAGCTCGGCGACCAAGGCGACATATTTTATCATCACAAGATCAACGACTTCGCAGATTGAGTTGACTTGATTAACCACAAGCTGCGAGTCACTGTATATTAGTATTGCCATGACTTTCAGCTCTAATGCTAGGTGCAAACCAAGTAGCAGAGCTTCATACTCAGCCATGTTGTTTGTTACATCGAAGTTAAATTTCAGAGCATGCTCACTTTGGTATCCATCTAGGCCAATTAAGAGAGCACCAGCTTCTGAACCCTTGCTACTAGATGCTCCATCAACATTTAAGGTCCAGTCACTGGGCTCAGGATTAGGGGTTGAGTGACATAGGGTGCATTCCACGATGAAATTTGCTAGTGCTTGAACTCGAATTGTAGATCTCTGCTAAAATGTTATCTCAAACTCCCCCAATTCTACTATCCACTTAATTAATCTTTGGAGCACTCTGACTTCTGCAGAATTTGTTGAAAAGGTTGGTCTGTGAGGACAATAATTGGATGTGACTAGAAATATGGCCTCAACTTTCTGGCCGAAGTGACAACTACTAATGCTGCTTTCTCAGCAATATGAGACCTCAGTTCTCACCGTGTAGCACGCTGCTGATATAATAGATCAGTCTTTGTTGTTTGGCTTATTCTCTCAGCAGAACTGAACTAATTGCTTCATCTGAAACTCCAAGGTACAAATAGAGAATCTCTCCATCTATAGCCTTAGTCAGTAGGGGTGGTGAGCTAAGATAAGACTTCAACTCATCGAATGTGACTTCGCATTCTTGGTTAAATTCAAACTTCTTCTGTTTGCCAGATTCGTCCTTTTAGGCTGCTGACCTCATGATCTTGAAGAATGGCAGGCACTTATCTGCTGACTTTGATATGAATCTATGAAGAGTTGCCACCCTTTCAGTTAATCTCTGTATATCTTTTATCGACTTCGGTGGTTCCATCTCGGTAATTGCTCTAATCTTTTCCAGGTTGACCTCAATCCCTCTTCGGGAAACCATGAAGCCTAGAAATTTCCCAGACTCTACACCGAAGATACATTCAGCTGGGTTTAACCACATTCTATTCTTTCTGAGGTTGTTGAAAGTCTCATCGAGATTAGCTAGATGGTCTTCTGCTTTCAAGCTCTTTACCACAATGTTGTCGACATAAACTTCCAGGTTCCTGCCGATTTGAGCTCGAAAGACGATAGTCACCATTTTTTTTATAAGTAGCACTTGCGTTCTTTAAGCCAAATGGCATCCTGATATAGCAATAGATTTCATCACTAGCATAGAACGAGGTTTTCTCTTCATCCTCCGGAGCCATCGGCACTTGGTGATACCCAAAATATTCATCCAAGAGACTTAATCTCCCATTTCCAGAAGTCGCTTCAACCAATTTGTCAATGCTTGGCATTGGATAGCAGTCATTGGGGCAAGCTTGGTTGAAATTTGTGTAGTCGATGCACATTCATCATTTACCATTTGCCTTTTTGACCAACACTGGGTTAGCCACCCATTCGCAATAATCAACTCTTCTGACAAAACCAGCTTGTAGGAGCTTCTCTACCTCTTCCTTTATAACCTGAAGCCTCTTCCCCCCGAAGAGACGTCGCTTCTAGGCTACTGGTTTCTTCAATGAATTGGTGCTGAGCTTATGCTGGGATACTAAGGTTGGAATTCTTGGCATGTTTGCCGAAATCCAAGCGAAGACATCGTTGTTAGCTCGGAGAAAAGGTATTAGCTCTACTCTTTCCTTTGGGTTCAATCGAGTTCCAATTTGCGTCTTTCTGCGTGGATCTCTGTCATCAATGTGCACTTCCTCAACATCCTCAACTGGAGTAGCTCTGATTTCATCCTCTGGTCGGTTATCTACTATCTCAACACCCATTACTTGCTGATTGTCAAGAATTCGTTGGGGAATGGTTTCCGACGTATGATCTTTATCTTTCTAAGGCCTTATGACTGAGGTGATATAGCAATGTCTAGCCACCTTTTGGTTGCCCCGTAGTGTTGCTATCCCCATGGGAGTTGAGAACTTCATGCAGAGATGAGATTGGGAAACCACAGCTTGGATTTTGGTCAATGTGGGTCGGCCAATAACAACATTGAAAGAGGATGCCATTTTGACAACTAGAAACCGAACTGAAGGTGTAACATAAGTTCGGTCACTCCCAAAAGCAACATTAAGAGTAAGAACTCTTTCTACTTGAATGGGTTGGTTGTTGAATCCATAGATGGGACCATCGTACCACTGCAACAAAGCTGGATCTAGCCCAAGACTCTCAAAACAGTGAAAGTACATGATGTCTGGTGCACTCCCCGTGTCAACAAGGACACATTGTACCTCACAGTTGTTAATCATGATAGAAGTGACTAGAGGATCATTGTGAGGTGTAACAACTGTGTCAAAATCATCAGATGTGAAGGTGATGGGTTGATTCTTCCAATCAGCATCGTCAAACTTTCTTTTCTGAGTTCGATTTTGATGCTTCACCTCTCTGACGTACAACTTTCGTTGCTTAGAGCTCAAACCTCTTGCTTCCAAGCCTCCCGTAATCATATGTATAATTCTAGCTGGTGGTGGGAGTGGGGGTGAGGCTTGTTGATATCCCACGCCTTGTCTGTTTCCTGCATTATGAGATCCCTGTAGTTGTGCCCCCTATTTTCTAACAAACTTCGATTGCTCGGTTCACTAGATGTATTCATTCAACATGCCCTTCTAAGCTAGACTTTCCAATTTGGACCTCAGACTATTGCATTGCTCCATTGTGTGACCATGATCTTGATGAAAATCATAGTATCTAGTATGACCTCGTGTAGCAATAGAGCTTCTCATTGGTTCCGGTCATTTTAAATCCATCTTATTCTTAATCTGCATGAATATCTACGACCTCGGCAGATTAAAAAGGGTCCATGTAACTGGTGCTTTAGTAGTAACCTGCTAGGGTGGTATCGAGTTCAGTTTTTCGAATCTCGGTGTGGAGGTCATCACTAAACCTCGGTTCTGCACTATCTTCATCCGTTTTCTGCTCTGACCCTCCTCTCTCCAATCTAAGTTTGGTTCTTAGGAAGAATTGGTTTCTGTGATAAGGCATATTCCTCAACAGTTATGAATTTCAATGATCTGTCATTAACATCGTTGAAAGTAGCTGCAGGATGCTTGAGTAAGCTATCTCTGAATCTCTCGTGCTGGAGACCTTGAATTACAGCCGCAATTCCCACGGCTTGGTTGAATGAGTTGACTTCGAGGACTACATCGTTGAACCGGCTCATGTAATTCTTCAAAGATTCTCCTTCCCTCTGCTTGACTCGCATCAGTTTAGAAGTAGTTTTCCTGATCAACCTTCTGCTGGAAAACTTTGTGGAAAAAGCAAATGCCATTTCTGAACAAGAGTTGATAGATCTTGGAGGCAAACTATAATACCAAGTTCGAGCATTACCATGGAGAGTGGAAGGAAAGATCTTACACATTAACGCATCAAAGGCATTCTAAGCTTGCATACATGAATAGAAGGCATAGAGGTGATCATCAGGGTCCTTCATCCCATCATATGTCTCAAGCTGAGGAATTTTGAAGCCAGCGGGATAAGGTTCCAATGTGACGTTGGTGTTTAGAGGATAAGGTATAGAGTCAGTACTATGGCGCGGAGGTGAGGCACCTCGCTGCTTGGCTAGTAGTTTTTCTAAGCTATCCAATCGACGTGTAACATCGTCATGTAGGGGTGTGGAACTAGGGCTGCACGAGACTGAACCTGAGACCCACTGAGAGCAAGGGCATGCTAAATTGGTTAAGGATCTTGCTGTTGAACAAGGGGTTGTTGATTAGGGTTGAGTAGATTGATGAGAGGATCACCATGATTATTTCGAGCTAGAAGCTGAGCCAAAACTAACTGGAACACACCAAATTGTTGTTGCATGGCAGCAAGCTAAGTTGTAATTACCTCTTGATTAGCAGTGGAAATTGAGTTGTGAGCTGAGTTGTGGGGTTGGTTTTCATCTCCTCCTTCTGCATGATCAACATGAGGGAACATATTTGGGATCTAAGGTGGAAGCTGAGGTGGGAGGTTGGTGGGGAGTTGACCTTGTCCAAGGGGCTGAGAATGATTTCTAGCTCAGACTGATCGAGTGTTAACCATGATGAGAGAGCAACAAGAGAGCTTTCAGTTCGATTCCCATAGACGGAGCCAATGTAATTGCACCAAACCAGAAGTCCTTCTTCAATCTACGTCTTCACTTTGGATGAACCTGCAAAGCCCCAAGGTGGGTCCTCGGGGTAGACACTCTGATGCTTAAGTCAGTAATAATCGGATCTACCTTTTTGGGATAATTAAAGAGGAGCTTTAGGTCGGTTTCAATTACTTTTCTGAGGTGGCCCTCGGGGGGTATTTATAAGCCTTTGTGAGGTATCCACGTGGCTTGCTTAGCAGGATAATCGAAGTGTGACATGTCCTTTAAGGAGGTAAATTCGAGACCGGGAAATTATGTGATAGATCAGGTGCAGACATTTCCACTATATTTACCATGTGGCCATTTGACCAGAAGTGCTGGAATTAATCTCACTTCGGCTATTAAGGAATTGTTACAGTATGTTCGAAGTTAAGGATCTCAGACCTATCCTTACACAACCAGAGCCAAATCAGTGGTAGTTAATTTCTCAAATGACAACAAGAACAAATCAGTTAAATCTCAATAAAACTCAATTAAGCATTCAAGTATTAAATCAGGATCTTAAGTAATCATGAGATTAACGGCTCCAAATCAATATATTAAGTGATTTTAGGCCAACATCTATTTTTACATTTGTTTCTTTCAAACCTTGTAATTGTACAGTGTATATATATATATGTGTGTGTGTGTGTATGTCAATAAATAGAAACCTCTTCCACATCTTTAAGGAAGAGTTCATTTTCTCATAAATTATCCTCTTTTATTTTATCTTACAGTTAGAGCTAAGCAAAGCAAGTATAATTCTAGTAAATAATTAAAGGGAATAATTAACCATGAACCTAGCTAGCTAGCGCTAAGCCCATAAAAACAAGAGACCAAATTATATGCCAGTTAAAAGAGAAAAAAGAACGAGTTATATAAACGATTTTTAATATATGAGAAATTCGATCCTGTGAAATTTACTAGGAATAATCTTTACTTTTGAGAAGTAATTGATTATTCAAAAGGGAAACGATTCAAAATTATCCATACGTGGCACCGAACCCTTCGACTCAAGTGACAATAGCCATTTCAAGTGCACTTCCCCCCACCCTCTGGCCTGGGTTCGACCCAGGCCATTGTAAAAATTGTTCAAAAAAAAAAAAATTATCCACATGTGGCGGCGATTCTTCCCAAATTGAAGACAAGAAAGCACTTGATAGATTTAGAGACAGACCATATATATCAAAGACAAAATAATGTCAGAAAGATAATATATGATGGTTTTTTTAATAGATTTTTTATATTATATAATAAATTATAAAAAAAAAACTATTTTATAAAGTGGATCGTATACAATTCGTTTTGTAAAATTATTTAAATGCTTTTAAATTTATTTTTATATTATTTTTTCAAAAGTATTTAATTAATTTTACAGGACGAATTGCATACAATCCGTCCTGTAAAACAATTTTTTAAATTATAAAAAATATATATATATAGCACTCTTGCTTTTCGTCTCAAATTTAATTTAAATTTAAAACATTTAATTTAAAGTTTTGTGTGCCATTAATTAACCACTTAATACATCCTCTAGAGGCTATAATATACAAGGATATACGTGCACTGCACTGTCGTAGGAATGGTGCCAAGCCAAATCTGTTGGACCACAAAGAAAAACAAGAAAGTACTTCATGTTAATTAGATCAGGAAAACAGTTAATCCAACACACAATATTTCAGCAGGGTAAAAAAAGGAATAGGGACATGCATATGATAAAATCATGTATATGGAGAAAGGAGAAAGGATATTTCACCTGGAGGCATCTTGGTTTCTACCTATTTGGTGAAACTTTTTATGGAGCATGGAAAACAGGGGAATAATACCAAGGTACGTAAAATAAAGGTGTCAAATTCCATGCAAAAGCCTGTCAAATGAAGAGTCCCTTGCTCATACACCTCACTTTCGTTGTATGTTCGACCTTACACTTCACCTCTTACAACTCCATATAATAGGCAAAGACATATGCATGCTTGTTTAGACTAGCTAGAAATACATGATATTACATGTACATGACATTAATTAAGGTATTTACATGTCCCGTAATCGGTGGCCAAATAGCCACCCTCTTGCAAGGGACGTGCGTAGGACTACAAGAACTTGAAATCAATCTCAAGTCCCCCTATTCTCCCTTCCCCAAGAAAAAAGATTTCACATTGTTTAAAAAAAAAAAAAATTAAGGTATTTACATAGGCTTTTGGTACGAGGAAGAACGTTCAAAATTCCAACTATTCAAGTTGTTCCATCACATACGTACCAATATAATTAATGTACCATATAGTTAGCTACACGAGGGCTCGTAGGGTCAGAATGTCACGTAAAGAGGGATTTACGGAATGGAAATGTCTCTACACCCTCTGCCCACCACCACAAATTAATGTACGTGCATAAATTATCAAAACAAAGCCACAAAAGTCCTACCTACCTTGTTAGACTCAGGGTCCCCTCCCCCACTATTTCGACACTCCCCTTTAATTTCAAAACTTTTTAAATAATTTTCTAAATGGAAAAAAATAATAATAATTGCAGAGACAACTATAGTAAATGACCGTGCGTGTTCAATTAATGTTTAGACTAATTTAGTTGATCAGATTGACAATAATCTGGGAATGTTATAGATATCATACTAGAGTTTATTGAACTTTTTTTACATGTATTTTTCTAACACATGTCATAAGAACACAAGTTAAAAATATTAAAAAAATAAAAAATAATGTTTAATTTATTAATTAACTAATTAAACTTATTTATATTATAATGATTTTCAAGTTAATGTCAACTTTTATATTTTTATATAAATTTATGATAAAAAAATGTTTTTAACATGTAC